TATACTGACTCAGGCAGGGACCAACAAATACCATATTTTAACGTCTTTTGGTATGATGCGGCCGGGGATCGAGACCCGCGACCTTCCGTTCTCCGGGCGGAGAGAGAGAGAGAGAGAGAGAGAGAGAGAGAGAGAGAGAGAGAGAGAGAGAGAGAGAGAGAGAGAGAGAGCGTGCATGCGTGCGTGCGTGTGAGTGTGAGTGAGTGATATCATTCAGTAGCGTTTTAAATCGGTTTCTCGCCACACCGAAGGCCCGAGATCGAATCCCTGGATCACTAAAGGTTACATAAACTCGCATTCGCAACTCAGTCCGGAAACAACGTGCTAGACCTGTAGAGTTTAAGAAGCAAATTATTATTAATATTATCCGGTCGATCTTTTCCAGGGAGATGGCTCTAAGGCGCGCCTTCAAGATCCTGGACAAGGACAAGAGCGGGTTCCTCACCAGAGACGAGGTTATCGAGGCCACGAAAACAATGGCGCAACTCAACGTCTCCTCTGACAGGATTGCCGACCTTCTTCAAGCTCTCGCAAAGGATGCCGACTCGAAACTCGACTACGAAGAATTTCTGGCCGTTTTTGGTATCCAGCTGACGGCTGAAATTATGCGTTCCGCATTTCGTCTTCTTGACAGAGATGGCAGCGGGTTTATCACAAAAGATGAACTCATCAAAAGCATTCAGTCGGATGCGGATCTCAACATCAGAGCTGATAAAATATCTGCTTTGCTAATTGCATGGGTGAGGGATGATGACAAGAAAATTAATTATGAGGAATTTGTAAAAGTATGGAGCCAGCAGAAACCCGTTAAGAAGTAAAATTGATGATTTGAGATTTTTTTCTAGAACAATCTTTACCTTAATGTCTTTCTCTCCTACTTATTATCTTTGACCAATCAGTATTTTATCTCATATTGAATCAAATATTTAATAAAAATATTTATAATCAGAAGAGTTGTTTCCTTTTCATATATTTTCAGACAACAGTACACATATTACCATGATAGGGTGTTAAGAGTGACAATGTTAATTTGTCATGCTGTATTGTCGGGGCCACAACATGGGGTATATAACAGGCGCGTTGGAGTGTTCTCAAGTTTACATACATTCGAGCATAAATTAAGCACTGCCTGGATCCAAGGGCAATTTTGGTCTAAACAGGCGATCATACTCAAACATACTGGAATGCATATATGAAGCACTTGCTCCACACAATATCTCAAAAGGTATGGGTTGCATGTTCACTTGCTGCAAGGGTATAAATTTCATTACTGGAGTATGTGTACCATTTTTCTGTACTTATTTAAAAGACGACTGTACTAACTTTTATATATCTTGACATGACAAGACGAAAACTTTCAGAAAATACACTATAGCACGTTATTGGCATGCATAAAGGATTCCTGTCGCAGCATCAACATTGATCCAACGGTTATCATTCTTGGGAGGAAGCACGCGGTCACCGGTGAAGCCAACGGAGACGACAAAACCTTGGCCCTTTTGTAAGAAATCTCTGCTAAAAGCAGAATCGGTTGTACAGTTGTGACTACATCATGGAGATGTGTTTGTTTGACGCCGTATATGACGCGGTCTGTAAATAATCGAGCCTGGACCAGACTATCCAGTGATTGAACGGATCGTCCAAGACCAAGAAGACCGAGAAAGACCGTTGACTGAATCGTGAACACGCAATTCAGTGACCCATGCCGAAGAACTGCACCGGCAGTTGAGAGTTGGAGTTGGACACACCACCAATGCCATCATATCGGAAAGTGTCCTCGAGCTGTTGGTCTGATGTAACGTTGTCCTATCAAACTCCCTTTTTAACAGATTTGTTTGTTTGTGTGTTTGTTGTTAAACGCCGCACTCAGCAATATCACTGCTATATGGCGGCGGTTAAATAATCGAGTCTGGACCAGACAATCCAGTGATCAACAACATGGACATCAGTCTTCGCAGTTGGAATACGATGACATAAGTCAACCAGTCAGCGAGCCTGTCCATTCGATCCCGTTAGTCGCCTTTTACGACAAATTCTAACCCGGATCTTCTCGAGTCCTTCACAGATTGGCAATGGTAGGAACGTCTGGCGTGGATCAGGCTACGACAAAAACTTGAGGACATAGCGCAGGGTTCATTAGTCTGAAGAAAGTCGCTATCTCTACACGTTACCCACGGCCGTTGTCCAGTGTGGAGACGTCTTTATATCACGAGGAGATCTAGATGATCCATGCATCCGGTGTAGGGTTTCGTTCCGTATGACTGCAAGTTGGACCTCATGATAGTACCTGGCATTCTCATGGTTAACGTCATCAACAGGAGTGAGTGAGTGAGTTTAGTTTTACGCCGCACTCAGCAATATTCCAGCTATATGGCGGCGGTCTGTAAATAATCGACACCAGCAATAGGCTTCATACTTTGTACTCATGTAGGGAATCGAACACCACTAGGCTACCCCACTGCCCAGACTCTCCAGGGTCGATGGCAGATGATTCCGATGTTGATAATTCGACGTTTAATGTGGTGGATCATACAATCACAACAATCGCTATTTGAGACCTGTGTGGTAATCGGTGCACAGATCGGTGGAGTAGCCAAGGTGACCACACTTTCCAGCATATTTGACATTTACGTTGTGTATTATTATCAATCAAATGTCAAATTGTTTCCAAATTTCACTTTCAGTTTAGGTTTAATCGGAGTAACTTATGTTAGAGTTACCATTTTAAAAAGCTGAATTTTGTTTTCAAAGTTTATACAGTACATTATACATATATACTCGGCACATAAAGAAACTGTGCATACAAAAATTTAAAATCTAAGTTTATCAAACCTGTGTAGACACATAAGGATTTAAACTCAGAGATTAGTGATATGTATCCAACATGCATGCACGTGCCACGTTCCGTGACGTGAGTGGGTTCGTCCTTGAGACGTGCAAAACGTTGTTGCACGTGCATTCCGGGAAAGAGAAACAGAGCAAATGAATGCCACCCTTGCGATCGTTCAAAAAATTAAACGGCTATTGAAACGCATAGCATGCCAAGGCTCATGTCTGCACAACGTCATGAGGCCATTGGGATGGTACGTGGGGGAATGTCTCAACGACAAGTGGCTGCACATTTCCACTGCCACCGGAACACCATTTCGCACTGGTGAGACGCTACCAGAACACAAATGACGTCATCGATCGGCCACGTTCTGGACGTTCACGTGTAACAACGCCAAGACAGGACAGATGGATAAGGGTGACCCATCTTCGCCACAGGGTTCAGACTGCAGTGATGATTGCCCGAACCATCCCAGGACTTCGCTGTATCCACCCCAACACAGTTCGACAACGTTTACGTCATCACGGGATCAGACCACGACGTTCCGCCATACGGCCTATCCTGACACAACGTCATCGACAAGCTCGCCGAATGTGGTGCCGAAATCATGTCCGCAGACCCTTGTTTTGGTGGAGAAATGTTGTTTTTACAGATGAGTCCAGTTTTAACATTTCCCATATTGATGGACGTCAACTTGCCTATAGACGCGTGGGAGAACGTTATGCACAGGCCCGTGTCTTGGAGAGGAATCGCTTTGGTGGTGGTTCCGTGATGATTTGGGGTGGAATAACAGCACGCCAAAGAACTCCTTTGGTGATTGTTCAGGGCAACTTAACTGGTGTGGGCTACAGGGATCAGATTCTTCGACCTGTGGCAATTCCTTTTCTGCAACGTCATGGCCCTGGGTTAACATTCCAACAGGACAATGCCAGCCCTCATACGGCAAGGGTTGCTATGGATTTCTTGCAACACCACAACGTTGACTTACTGACTTGGCCTGCAAATTCACCGGATCTCTCCCCGATAGAGCATGTTTGGGACGAGATGGATCGACGTCTACGCCGTCTTCCTCATCCGCCAGATAACGTCCTTGACCTTGCAACAGAACTTGAGAGAATCTGGCGTGATATCCCACAAGCCTTCCTTGGACGTTTGATAGGCTCTATGCGTCGTCTATGCACTGCTGTTCTCAATGCCGATGGTGGACATACCCGTTTTTGAGCTTGTGACATGGTCGTTTGACCCCTGTCCCGCTTGTGGACTCGTGACGTCATTGTGATTGACTTTTCAATTGAAATTCTCCCGACTTGTTATGGTCTCATGGTCCCTCCATTAAAGTTTATATGTACCTTTGACATTGTTATCGAACTTATCAACTGGGAAAAATATTTTGACAATGCACAGTTTCTTTATGTGGCTAGTATAGAAAGAGTGGATGGTGCTTAATTAATGGTCATGTGTATACATAGAGTTTGTTTAGATGTTGCTTGTCATGCGGAACCCTGGGCCGATTCCAAAGAATCGTTAAATGTGGGATTTCCGATCTTGAAGTTTGCTAAGAGCGGGTAATCTCCGCGAAGTTCCAGATTAATTCATCTTGATCTACCCATGCTTTGGTCAGTCTGGTTCACTATCTTTGTCGTGTCCCTATTTCATAGATCAGTCGTATCCTTATTGGGTAGATCGATGTTGTTTTTACCGAATTGTTATTGTAATTAACATTTTATTTTCGAATCCTTGTTTCAGACAAAACCAGACACCCAGGGTAGTGCTTGGCCCAATTCAGATGAGAAAATATACTTTAGAAGACACAAGCAAGACTTTACCGGAGCATTTTAAACAAAATGTTGTTGTTTTGCATATTAATGCTGTTAGTGAGGTTCATATTAGAGGTTTGATATTATGGACTAGGATATTATTTTTTAGTTTTAAAACTGTCATGGACACTCATTTACGCTCACATTCTGCGCTGAACCACAGAGAAGTTTAATATAGACACTTCACAATAACCATCCCACCCCCACTCATCAATATCTCGTTCACGCAACTGCTAAACAAGGCTACCTGTCTGCGGTATCAGTTACATTCCGTGTTACAGGGTGCTGTAACTGATGTGACATCGACCACGTTACACCTGTTGCATTATTCAGAACTTATATGAAGCTGCGTCACCCCGCCGTTTACACTGTCGGCACCATGGACGTTCTGCTGTGTGTTGCCGTAGCGCTGATGGCCTCTGCCTCAGCTCTGATTGCACCAATGAAGAAACCGGATGGGACTTTGGACTTGGAGAGCGTCCACACCCATGTCTTACTGCTGGAACAGATGTTTGCTAGCCTGGCAAAAGCTTCTGAAGTTGAGACCCTCAAGTCCAAAGTGGAGACCCTTAAGTCCAAAGTAAAGGCGTTGAAGTCTGCGAGTACATCCACTATACGTCAGATGCGGACAATCAACACCACTGCCATGGAAACAAGGTCCATTGTCCAGGAGATCAGGCAGTACAGTAAGTTAATCTCAGACATTTATTTGAAAAATCCTTACGCAGCGTGTACGAGTATGTTTTTATTTGTCCAGAGATCTGGAATCGGACGATCTCCGTGTTTTGACAGAAAAGGGCATTGGAGGTGCTAGAAGGATATTGCATAGTCTGGAATATGTTGCTTTGCAATCTGGCTTCACATATCACATTAGATCGGGTAGGTTCACTGCGCGAACTAAACACGGGACTGGTTAACGGTACAACTTTCTCGTTTGTTGACAGTTCGCCAACAATAGTTGATGATATACATAGTTATTACATTTTTGGGAGAAAACACAATCAAATTTGATGAATGCAAGGCATTACATATTTTTCGTAAATGAGCCAAAATGTAAGATACAATATAACTGTCAATTTTGGCGATGGTTCTTTACTGCTGGACGGTACAGAAATGGGTCTCAGCCAAGCACAGGCAAACTGCATTCTTAACTACTCGTCCTTTTCCGTAACCTGAAAGAAGACTCGTACCCCTCTCGTAGCCATTTTATTGAACGTGGCTCTGTCTGAGCGCAAATGCTCAGAGAGAAAGAATTAGTCTAGTTGCCGAACTATTTTCAAGGGCATGTAACTCTAGTTGACTTGGAAGACAAATGTCGCGGCCATAAAATTTCCGAGTTCCATGCTGGGATTCGAACCACGGACCTTCTGATCCGAAGTCCGACGCCTTGTCCACAGAGGGTAACCCCGCCAAAGAGGTTAACCCCGTCAGCAAGCTGACAAGGTAAGGCTGTCATCTGTAGGATGACTCCACGCCCTGCTACATACTTCCCCGTCAACAGGAGGCACGTCCCGAGCCGCATAGTTGGGCGCTGAGACTTATTTTGCTCAAATATGATATGAACGTGCTCAGCCCCACGTTGGGCGCCAATGTAGCGGCCATGCCAGTCTTTCTATATGCAAGCGAAGCGGGCAAAGGCTGGCAACGTGCTTCTCTCGCTTCGGTTCGAAAAATATTTTTAATATCAAAATAAAATATTGCCGCCATCAAAGGTAGACACTTATTTCCTCACAGGGTTGTGCTCTCTGATTTCCAAGCTTATATTTAATTATTACTCACGAAATTTAATTCAACAGTTTAAGCGCCACTCGTGGTATATCAAATCGCCTCCATTACCCCTGTCAGCTTCCGGTTCAACGGAGTGAAGGAACAGGGGAGATAAATCTAAATATGCTTGTTGAATCACATGTCCATAGAATACTTAGCAGAGTTACCTCCCCTGCTTCATTCACCCACTACTCCCGGAGTTTTGTTGTTGTTGTTTTTGAAAAAATGTTACGAATATTCTAACAATAATGCCGGCAGGTAAGAAAAGTGATCTCCAACAGTGTAATGGTGAAATTAGGCAATATGATATTTCTTTCCTAATTTCTGTTTATTCTTGTTCCTTCACTCCGTTTAACCGGAAGCCAGCAGGGGTAATGGACGCGAAGAACGATTTGACATGCCACGAGACGAGCTTAAAATGTTGAATTAAATATACTACTCAAAACAAGTTAAGGGTCAAAACATAGCCATAACTACAAATATATATAACAGTGGAATGTGGCGATCATATGACAACTCGCGCCAATATTTCATGATAACCTTAACGGGAGACAAAAACAGCAGGAATGTCAAAGTGACCTACTGTCAGAAGTGAAAATTCAAACGCAAACATTGGACTAATAACTGATGTAACCACCTCGAACAGTAAGACAAGCAGTACACCTCTGTCTCATACTGTTCACCAGACGTTGGAAGAAGGCTTGGGGTATTGCCTGCCATTCTGCATGAGATACTGGGCCAGTTCTGCACGGTTGTTTAGAGGGGCGAGGTTGTTACGAAGCCGACATCCTAACTCGTCCCAAGCATGTTCCATAGGGGCTAAATCTGCTGAATATGCCTGGCATTCCATGTGCTGAACATTGTTCTGTTTAAGGACTGACTGACTGACTGACTGACTGTGAGTTTAGTTACGCCGCTTTTAGCAATATTCCAGCAACATCACGGCAGGGGACACCAGAAATGGGCTTCACATATTGTACCCATGTGGGGATTCGAACCCGGGTCTTCGGCGTGACGAGCCAACGCTTTAACCATTAGGGTACCCCACCGCCCCCTGTTTAAGGAAGTCCGTCACAACACGGGCACGGTGTGGTCGGGCATTGTCATCTTGGAATATGGATCCGACCCCGATACGTTGTAAACATGGCAAAACAAGGGGTCTGATAATCTCCCGTAGATAGCGATTTCCGGTCAGGTTACCATTAATGACATAGAGAGGTGTCTTTGATGAAAGGAAAACTCACCCTAAACCGTGACACCCCGCCTCCATATGGCAGGCGTTGGTTGACGTTAACGTCAGCAAACCTCCCTCCTGGACGCCGATACACACGAGTTCTACCATCATTAAACTGTAGAGTAAACCTAGACTCGTCGGAGAAAAGAACTGATGCCCACTGAGCACGTTGCAAACGAACATGGCGTCTACACCAGTCATGTCTTGCCGTCATGTGTCGCTGAAGGAGCGGTGGTCGTACTGCTGGTCGCCGTGCCCGAAGATTGTTCCTCGTCAGTCGGTTCCTGGCAATCTGATCAGATACCAGGGTACTTGTGACAGTTCTCAGTTTGTCACGGAATTGTCTGGCAGTTACTCTGCGTTGTGGGAGGGCCATATTTGTCAGGTATCGGTCTTCTCTAGGAGTTGTTATTGGAGGCCCGCGAGAACGTGGTAGATTATTCACCATTCCAGTGACAGGAAACCGGTGTCATAACCTTCCAATGACACTCTGACTCACATTTAGTCTCTGAGCCACACTGCGTTGAGGTTCGCCATCTTGATGCCAAGCAAGAGCTCTTCCTCTGTCTGTCATGCTCAGTTCACGTCTTGCTATTTGACAATAACAATGCGACAATTATAGGTTTTATAGGGAAAATAAGCATGCTCAGCACTAATCCCACGAAGAACACGTGCACATGTTGTTCATGATGAAACATCATCTTCTACAAGCACAGTGGTGGCGCCTTCTGTGAAGCACTCGATGTTTCAATTTGTTCATTTGTTAACACCCTACCATATGAATGTAAAGTTTTATTCATGCATAATGCAACCAGTCTCATCAATTACATTACATGATGACATTGCATGACCCGTAACTTGTTCTGAGTAGTATATATTGTACGTGAGTAATTACTAATTATGATTTTGGAAATCTGAGAGCACAATCCTGTCAGGAAATGGGTGTCTAACTTTGATGGTGGCGATATTTTATTTTGATATCACAAATATTTTTCGAACCGAAGCGGGGGAAGCACGTTGCGAACCTTTGCTTGCTTCACTCACATATAGAAAGACCGGCCATTTTCCTCTCTCTTGCGCAGCCCATTGAACATTTTAAGCGCCACTTCACCCCTTTTGCGCTACAGTTTGCCTGTGGATCGGGGTTCTGTTCTCACACAAAATCGGTCGTACCACAGGCAAACTGTAGCGCAAAATGGGGCGAAGTGGCGCTTAAAATGTTCAATTAAATATATTTTTCGTGAGAAATAATAAAATATGAGCATAGAAATCAGAAACCACAACCCTGTGAGGAAATAAGTGTTTACCTTTGATGGTGGCGATATTTTATTTTGATATTAAAATTATTTTCGAACCGAAGCGATGGAAGCACGTTGCCAACCTTTGCTCGCTTCGCTTGCATATAGAAAGACCGGCCATTTTTCTCTCTATTGCGCAGCCCTATTTTCGCTACAGTTTGCTTGTGAGCCAAGTGCCATAGCAAATCAGCAGAGTTTGTCAAGGGAAGACTGAACGACTGCTGTATGAGTTTATGTGCAGTTTGTGTAGAAAAGCAACCCTACTGATAATGAGTCCTTGGATGAAGTCGGCTCGCCTGAAAAGTGACACAAAAGGCTTTCTGTTTGCTGCTCAAGATCAGTCACTTCCCATGCATAACCGTCAATCTGTGATTTTCCATCAAATCAAATATGAAATGTAGATTATGAAATGATATAATGAGACTGTGCAGCACCTTGTCAGTGGAAGGGGAAGTGGGGTAGCCTAATGGTTAAAGCGTTGGCTCGTCACGCCGAAGACCCGGGTTCGAATCCCCACATGGGTACAATGTGTGAAGCCCATTTCTGGTGTCCCCCGCCGTGATGTTGCTGGAATATTGCTAAAAGCGGCGTAAAACCAAACTCAGTCAGTCAGTCAGTTGTCAGTGGATACGCAGCGTTGTCACAAACCTTAAGTACCTTAAAGCGACAAGACAGCGTGGTTCGTTCCTGTTAAGATCGTCTTCGCCATGTTTCTGGTCATGAGGGTAAGACTTCCGCCCGTATCCCCCCTAAATTTTAACGATGAGGAAACATTTCTCTGAGGGCATTTTTAGAAGTTGGATATATCTTTAGTATGTTCAGATAAAGTGTTAAAATTCATCCTTATCACCTGAGGAATACATATTCAGGTGATATGATTTGACTAGAATGACATTTAAGGGGAGATAGGGGCGGAAGTCCTTCCGTTATGAGGTCCTGACATTTATATAATTGTTTGGAATAGGCTTGACATATTTTTAATTGAAATAACCCCAATGGAATCATGGGTATTTTTGGATTTCCGCCCCTTTTAACACTAACGTGCTTGACAAGATTTAGGAAAGACATGGAGAATATGTTGACTTCGCTAGTGAAATGTCACGCTTGCATCCCAAGTACCAAGTTGTGCGACCCCTCATTTTACTTGGTGCCTTAAGTTTGTTCCATGCAATCTATTGCCTGGCATTAGGAGCCCACGTGCTTGTTGTCAGAAAGGTGGCAGTGTTGGGGAGCATCCATATTCTCAAAAACTTCCTTGTTGGGATCGAGGAGGCAACACTCCCTGAGCCTACACTGGGTTGGGCAAGTGAGTGAGTGAGTGATTGAACATGGTTTTAAGCCACTTTCAGCAATATTCCAGCAACATCACGGCGGGGGACACCAGAAATGGCATTCACAAATTGTACCCATGTGGGGGGGACCCGGATCTTCTGCGTGACGAGCGAACGCCTTAACCAGTAACCTAAAACAATACTTTATTGGGCAATACAGGCTATACGACCACGATTCATGTTTTCCTCAAACTTCCGGTGTGTATTCTAGAAAGGATAGGTTCAAATACTCCATAAATACCTAAATGTCACTTCCAACGTTTCCTTTGCCTTTCAGTATATTATTCTAATCTGTAACAATTTAACTTTTAACCATTGACATTACAGGCAATACATCCAACGTGGCGTTTGAAGTATCATGTGAAAAGGCAGGGCATGTCGTCCAAGCAAGTCAAATCTTCAAGTTTAACAAAGTTACTCTGAACAATGGCGGAGGGTACCACGCAGCAACGGGTGTATTTGAAGCTCCCGTGTCCGGGACGTACCTGTTCTGGGCTAGCATTGACCCAAAGGCACACATTCACGTGGCTCTGTACAAGGAGGGGGCAGAGATAGCGGTTGCGTCTGGCTTCGAGACTACCAGTCTTACGTATGCAACAGAGGTGAAGGAAGGCGAAAAGGTTTGGTTTCAAAGTTTCAGATACGCTTCCGAAGTCGAAACGAATCGACACTCAACATATGGCGGAGCTTTGATCCATGAGCACAGAGTGTAGCATGATGACTCAAACCTAAATAAAATTTGATTCATAAAATCTCCTTTTCTTGAATAAATATTTGTCACTAAACAAGAATCTCCATGGACTTGGCTAGACTGCCCAGTGATTTTCTAGACGTTCTGTACCTATTGGGATAAAGGGTTATAACAACCTACCAGGATGCATGTTTTGGCAGGCGATTTAATGAGTGAGTGAGTGTAGTTTTACGCCGTTTTAGCAATATTCCAGAAATATCACGGCGGGGGAAACCAGAAGTGGGCTTCACACACTGTACCCATGTGGAGAATCAAACCCGGGTCTTCGGCGCGACGAGCGAACGCGTTTTCCACTAGGCTATCCCACCGCTCGCGACTTAATACATTGGTTTTCAGGCTTGGTGACTAGATATATTATAGGATGTACATGCTCCGACAGCGACGGTCGGCAGCGTGGTCGCGACACAACAGGGTCACGATACAACAAATATCGCGATGCAAATATTCCGGTCATATTGTTACGAAATGTCTTGACGTCAAATATTTCGGACAAGGTTCCAAAGGATGCTTCTCGTGAACGCATGGCAGCTATTTTAGTAACTGCCCACTAAACAGTTCTCGCTTTCTTCTCAGATTAGCGCATTTTACAACCATAACATACTATACCTACATTTTTTGTGATATTTGACTGATTGGATGTTGCCGTTGAGATTGACATCCAATGATCGAGAGAGAAAATACCGGCGCCTTGAGCATGTACTAGTTGCGTGGATATGTGCTATATAGATATCCTATGATAATAAATAATGACTGACAAAAAATGGGATGAGGAGTGACTGACTGAGTTTGGTTTTACTCCGCTTTTAGCAATATTCCAGCAACATCACGGCGGGGGACACCAGAAATGGGCTTCACACATTGTGCCCATGCGGGGATTCGAACCCGGGTCTTCGGCGTGACGAGCCAACGCTTTAACCATTAGGCTACCCCACCGCCCCGGATGAGGAGTGACGTTTAACAAGTAGTAAGCGTTTATTCAAGGGTTTCGTCGTGTACCAAGACAGAAAAATACGTATTATTCCAGCAATATCACGACAATTGTCACATATTTTAGCCACGTGGGAGATCGAACACGTGCCGAGCGAACGCTTTAACCACTTTGCTACCCCATCAACTGTACCCAGCCGTATATTATATAGACGTTGAAACTGACACGCCAATCACTGTATATGTATCTTTACAGTCGATAGGTTAATACACGCATCGTGGGCATATCATTTGACCCCGAGAAAACCCCTGGAGAGTTCGGGTTAGCATGGTGGCTAAAGCGTTCCCTCGTTACGCCGAAGACCCGGGTTCGATTCCCCACATAGGTACAATGTGTGAAGCCCATTTCTGGTGTGATATTGCTGGAATTTTGCTGGAATATTGCTAAAGGCGGCGTAAAACAACTCACACTCGTGAAAATCCGCAGGTTCATATGTAAACATTACATGCCGAATAATTGCACCATATTTTCATGACAGCTATACCGAGGTCTTGCAGTATCCTTGGCTTAATACATATCCAAAGTAATCTAAACTGAGGGGCAAAAGAAACGTCCCCGATCATTTTTTTATCATAAAATGATACAAACACGTGCAATTCAATGTTGAAATGTTTTATATAATTGTTGAACATATTATGCAGACTGTCATTACAGAACAATTGAAACAATTTGCTGTAAGTAGAGTTTTTGTGACGTTTTTCACAGGAGGTTCAAATGTCCGGGTTTCGATCATGACAACACATGCACATCAGTACTGACAGAGTGTCTTTGAGTGTCCAACTCCTCAGTAGCGAGTGTGTCCACCTCTTGCAGCGATACATGCTGCCACACGACGTCGTGCAGAGTGCACAAGACGTCTGATCACGTGATCTGGGATGCGACGCCATTCTTCCTGTAGAGCTTGAGCCAAAGCAACAACGTGCTGTGCGTTCGTTCCGACGTCTGTAGACTCGTACCCGACCATCAGCTTTGTTCAACTGGAAGCGGCTCTCGTCACTGAAGAGTACCCGGCGCCAGTTCCGCGGCTGCCACTGCCGAACTCTACGTGCCCAAGCCAAGCGACGACGTCGATGTTCACGCGTTAACGTCACGCCCGGAATGGTCTGTAGGCTCTGATACCGAATCGGCGGAGTCGTCTGGATATGGTCCTTCTACTGACTGGATGGGTAAGGCTGGTTGTTGCTGATGACGTCACAGTCAGGAATCTGTTGCGCAAAGTGAAGCACCCGTAAATGGCGGTCTTCCTGAGGGGTGGTTACGGGTGGTCTCCTGTCCCTAGGCCTGTCTGCAGTCCGACCTGTTGTTCTGAAGCGTGTCATCAGTCTGGTGATGGTTTTCTTGCTGCAACCCATGATTCTTGCAACGTGACTGTGAGAAGCACCCAGCTGCAACATCCCAATAGCTCGTTCTCTCTGTTCTGCCGTGAGTCGAGGCATGTTCTTTGTGTCCTACGTATTGAAGTGATGAATTCGAACAGTCGAGCATAATTTTTATACTGTACTTTCATACGGGTATGTTTCCACCGAAGCATGCAAAAAACGTGAATAAAAGCAATTTTCATGCTTACAAAAAACTCCACGTGGATTTCCTTTCTGTGAGACGTGGGGATGCGTTCGGGAGATGTGTTCCTAAATAAATTTCCGTCATAACGACAACAGAAGAACGGTTTTTTCAAATTTTATTATGCTAGTTGTCGGTGTTGCCAGTGGCAACCATATGCATGGGGTGGTCAGGAAGATTGGTTCATCCAGCAGATGTACGTTTTCAGGTGTCGTTGTAATCATATGTTGTTTTTATATATTATGTCTTGTGATTAACATATGTTCATATGATTTATATGATATGATTAACATATATTTCAAATTTGAACGAAATCGGTGAAGAAATAAAGATTTTAGAAAATTCTACCGTTACACGCATTACATAAAATACACAAGGCCGTGACAAGAGGCGACACTCCCAAAACTAAAAATGAAAAAAACTGATCGAAAACCGGACAGCCCGGCTATATTAACGAGCAGTTCAATCAAACCTTATGTTATTCACAAAGGTTGTGTTGAGCTTCCTTCTTTAGCCTATTATATTCAATTTGTCTAACTGCATTTCATATTTTACCACTGACCCTCACATTAGCACTGCCCTCTGCTTTGAACAAACGTCTGGCCTCTCTTCGGTAAACATCGACAGCTTCCGTAAATCTCTGTATGACACGGAAACGGAAAACGGCTATCATTGGTCAATTTCCACGTGTGCGATTATTGCGTGGGAAACGCGGTAAAAAAATATTGTCCAGTGATTCGAACCTCTGTGATCGTCACCATCACAATATGCTCCGCTCAGTAACAGATGAGGGACATGCGTGTTGTACTGGTGTGGATATGTACATGCAGTGTTGGTGATATTCATCTCACAATATCAGGTGTACCATACTTGTTGTTGAGGTGTGGACAGATAATGACTGATAGTGTAGTGTTGCCAGGATGCAGCCAGTAACACGACAGTCCATTATCGAGGTGTTATGATATTTATCGTTGGTGGTTTCGATGATGGCAATCATATTCAAATGCTTAATACCAGATGGCAACACGACTACGCTTCGCATTGCGTCTGTGTTTTCATAACCTTTTTACGTAACTTAGTTTTGTTTTGGGGGGTATATAGAAAGCCCACGTTGTCTTGTCGTGCCATAATTGATTGAATGAGTGAGTTTAGTTTTACGCCGCTTTTAGCAATATAACAGCGGTAACACGGCGGGGGACACCAGAAATGGGCTTCAGACATTGTACCCATGTGGGGGATCGAAACGAGCGAACGCTTTAACCACGATGCTACCCCACCACCCCTCGTGCCTTAAAAATAATAAATACAGTTCAGACTATACATGTATATAATAAGCATATGTTTATGAATCACTGAATTACCGGAGTGAATAAGCTGTTGCGAATACACTTTTCAGACTACACCTTGCGAGATAGTAGTAGGCTGGAATAGAATTTCGGAAAGACAAAATATTTCACCCTGTACAAGACCTCATTTATAGTCTGTTTGCAGTGCCGTTTGCAGTACCGATGAATTTCACTTAAACAAGCTAAGAAAGTAAATCAAATAAAGTGTAATAAAGATTGCGAATCCTCTTAATTTTACCTTGCCAATTGAACATCATTCTCTTGCCACATTGAACTTTTCATATCTCAGGGAATTTTATGACATCTGTAGGATAAATTTGAATCTCAGAATTTTATTCATCTTAGGATAAAAGTTGTTTAACAAACGAATAGATTCAAATCGCTATTATTGGTTTGCATTACAAGGGGGTAAGCGCAGTAGTTGGAACACTGAAACAAATGCATGCACGTGCGGTACGTGATGAGCGTTAACTTAGACCAACCCTACTTGTTCTCGGTGTTTCATTTAATGTGCATACACCCTTGTAATACATACCAATAATAACGATTTGAAACTAAAATCAGAAACTAGCAATAGAAAGTGGGGCCACATTTATCCTCTGCCGATGACTTATTTTGATGTGACACACAAGACATTTAATGGCTAGATTGTCCGTTGTCAACGAGGGCGATGGAGACGCCATTGATCAGCCATTACATGAGTTCTGTCTAGAAGAAACGTTTGCGCATCACGCAAGGGAAGAGGTTTTAGTTTTCCCGAAGCATACGGAAATTATCGAGGCTTTGCAAATGATCACTTTTGAAACAACGTTTCAATCACTTTTGATTGCACAACCAAATCTGATTGCAACCAATCACGAATCCTGAACACTCCCACCCTGAAAGAGCCGTATTAAAACAGGTTACGTAGGAAGATATGACTTGAGTAACCTCTGTGGAAAGAGAATGCCTGACCTCTCTTCGGTAAACATCGACAGTTTCCGTAAATCTGTATGACTCGGAAACAGAAAACGGTTACGTGGGAAGATATGACTTGAGTAACCTCTATGGGAAGAGAATGAGTGAGTGAGTGAGTTTAGTTTTACGCCGTACTCAGCAATATTCCATCTCTATGGCGGCGGTGTGTAAATAATCGAGTCTGGACCAGACAATTCAGTGATCAACAGCATGAGCATCGATCTGCGCAATTGGGAACCAATGACATGTGTCAACCAAGTCAGTGAGTCTGACCACCCCGATCCCGTTAATCGCAATGACGGTTTGTAGTAACAAATCATGGTATAGTGTTAAGAGCAGTTGTAGTATCTTAAATGGGTGACGTGTGGTTATCTCTTAAATTATGATTTTCACAATGTTCATATTTAATATTTATTTAATTTGAAACAAATAAAATTATAGTATAACACATCCAAGTTTAGGGTGGAGAAGAATTCTGTTTGAATTGGTATTAATTTCTAACTAACCCCTAACGCCGCACTCAGCAATATTCCATCTACATCTATATGGCGGCGGTCTGTAAATAATAGAGTCTGGACCAGACAATCCAGGGATCAACAGCATGACCATCGATCAACGTTATTGGGATACGATGACATGTGTCAACCAAGTCAGCGAGCCTGACCACCCGATCCCGTTAGTCGCCTCTTACGACAATCAGGTTGCTGAAAACCAGTTCTAACCCGGATCTGCACGGGTTGTATGTTATGAGACTAATCCTGACAGGAATTGTGCAATCAATGTGGATAACACTCGGATATATACTGAAATGAAGAAAATCGATAATCATTTACACAGGGTATCTATATATGTCCAAACACACATATTTAACTAATTTTTATATGAATCTGAAATATACTTACATGTGCGTTTTAAACCAAGGAATACTTGACACGGTATATGCATTGGAAACGAAACCACATCTGGGATCAATCGCCTCATGATGATCACCCATAAACACATCATTCATATGAAACTTCTTCACAGTTTGCATTCATAATATTTCATAAATCCACAGTCCCGATATGCAAATATCCAAATAAAAACAGATGACATCCTTCTCCAAGTTAATCCACGTGTGTTCAGCTGAACATTAAACTCAACTGAAGAAACTACCTGTAACGCGCAACAGGCGATCACCTCGTGCGGTGCACGTGCAGGGCCGATTGGATCACCTGCACGTGAACAATAGTTTCTTTCGCAAACTTCACGGCCTACAGTAAAACAGCGTCACTGAGATAGACTGAAATATGTTTAGGCCTGAAGTGTACTTTTACTCAAGTGAGATATCGTGTTTTGAATGCAGTGCATTAACATGAAGTCCACTTTAAAAATCGGATCGTATTATGTTTGGAGTTATCCCCCCTTTGTTCATGACCACTTCCGGGGAGCAACGTCAAACGCGACGTCATTGCACGCTAGCCTGCATGCGTTATTTGTAGTCCTCGCAAAACAACAGCATGAGCGCGATGAGTTGGAGATTTTACGTGTGCTTTCAGACATGATGGTATTTCGCACCCCACCGTCCCAACAAGCAACAGAAGTAACAAGCAAGCTCTACACAACGTTATGGATAAAGAGAATACATATATACATGAAGGATAATGGAGTTTATACAACAGTACAGTGTGATGACATTACTGGTTGTTGTGATGATAGATACTGGAGTTTATACAACAGTACAGTGTGATGACATTACTGGTTGTTGTGATGATAGATACTGGAGTTTATACAACAGTACAGTGTGATGACATTACTGGTTGTTGTGATGATAGATACTGGAGTTTATACAACAGTACAGTGTGATGACATTACTGGTTGTTGTGATGATAGATACTGGAGTTTATACAACAGTACAGTGTGATGACATTACTGGTTGTTGTGATGATAGATACTGGAGTTTATACAACAGTACAGTGTGATGACATTACTGGTTGTTGTGATGATAGATACTGGAGTTTATACAACAGTACAGTGTGATGACATTACTGGTTGTTGTGATGATAGATACTGGAGTTTATACAACAGTACAGTGTGATGACATTACTGGTTGTTGTGATGATAGATACTGGAGTTTATACAACAGTACAGTGTGATGACATTACTGGTTGTTGTGATGATAGATACTGGAGTTTATACAACAGTACAGTGTGATGACATTACTGGTTGTTGTGATGATAGATACTGGAGTTTATACAACAGTACAGTGTGATGACATTACTGGTTGTTGTGATGATAGATACTGGAGTTTATACAACAGTACAGTGTGATGACATTACTGGTTGTTGTGATGATAGATACTGGAGTTTATACAACAGTACAGTGTGATGACATTACTGGTTGTTGTGATGATAGATACTGGAGTTTATACAACAGTACAGTGTGATGACATTACTGGTTGTTGTGATGATAGATAATGGCCATGAAGCCAGATCGACAAGGGTTATCACTTGCTTGATAACGGTGTTAGTATCTACACCGAAACGTCGCACCCATAACAATAAGGAGTTGTCTATCCATAAAAATCCGGTTCAACATACCAGCTTCTAAATGCCACTCAGATGTATGCCGGCAAACTGTGCGACATGAATCATGGTGTATATACAGTCTCCTTGTCTATAAGGTACCAGTCTTCACACAAAAAGGGCGAAGTGAGTAAGTTTGGCTTTACGCCGCTTTTAGCAATATTCCAGCATTATCACGGCGGGGACAGCAGAAATGGACTTCACACATTGAACCCTTGTGGGGAATCGAACCCGGGTCTTCAGCGTGACGAGCGAACGCTTTATCCACTAGGCTACCCCACCTCCCCACAAAAAGGGCGAAGACGTGGGGAACTATAATTAGACGCGCGGCTTTAAACAATAAACGAAGAATACAGTTAATGTGTTTCCTGCAACAAAACATCCTGTGCATAAACTTTACACCTCACATCTTACTTGGTGGCGTTACTAATACGTTTCCATGGTGACAAGCAACCGTAGAATGATTTGGTTTGTTGTTTGACGCCGCACTCTTCAGTATTCCAGCTATATAACGGTGGTCTGTAAATAATAGAGTCAAGTGATCAACAGCATGAGCATCGATCTACGCAGTTGGGATACGATGACATGTGTCAACTTGAAAGTCAGTGAGACTGACCACCCGGTCTTGTTAGTCGCCGCTTACGACAAGAATGGGTTGCTGAAGACCAATTCTAACCCGAATCTTCACGGGCCTCCGTGCAATGAATTTGGATAAGAGGTTGAAACTGTCGTGTCTCCCATACCGTAACATAGACTTACGACAGACGTAGCACTAAGGTTTTATTGTACAAGGCACTATATGGGAAACTTCCACCTTTAATGAATGTAAAAAACAACCGTAATGCCAGAATATAGACTGTTTCTTTATTCATATTTAATCCGGACAGGAAGATGTCACATGGTTACAGCTGATGAGTCAAGTAACCATGGAAACCATGTTACAGCTGATGAATCAAGGTTCCTCCGTAAGTCGAGTGTTTAAACCCCCAGATGGATGTTTGTTTGAGGTTTTGAAACCACGCTTTCTGTCCTCGCGTGAGCCTAACAATGTATGACAAACTCGCAGCAGACCCTACAGAGGCGTGAGCGAGACCCAGACTTCTTCCTTCTTTGTACAGAATCGCGTACACGGAATGTCCGTTATACGGTAGAATGCTAGCCCAGAACAGATAGGTGCCGGACACTGGAGCCTCAAATATACCAGTAGCTGCGTGGTAGCCCCCGCCAATGTTTAGGGTTACTGAGTCGCACTTGTAGATTTCATTGGTGTAGAGGGTAAAAGGTGACCTGTTGCAGGTTACCTCGAATGCCACAGCCGTCCTGGAAATTCCTGAAATAAGTAGTTATTGACATATAGATTATATATAAATATATTGAACACTGTCCCAGTAGATCTTACTGTTTATTTATTTGCCACTCAAGTAGGTACATTTTGTATATAGATTATATATAAATATATTGAACACTGTCCCAGTAGATCTTACTGTTTATTTATTTGCCACTCAAGTAGGTACATTTTGTATATAGATTATATATAAATATATTGAACACTGTCCCAGTAGATCTTACTGTTTATTTATTTGCCACTCAAGTAGGTACATTTTGTATATAGATTATATATAAATATATTGAACACTGTCCCAGTAGATCTTACTGTTTATTTATTTGCCACTCAAGTAGGTACATTTTGTATATAGATTATATATAAATATATTGAACACTGTCCCAGTAGATCTTACTGTTTATTTATTTGCCACTCAAGTAGGTACATTTTGTATATAGATTATATATAAATATATTGAACACTGTCCCAGTAGATCTTACTGTTTATTTATTTGCCACTCAAGTAGGTACATTTTGTATATAGATTATATATAAATATATTGAACACTGTCCCAGTAGATCTTACTGTTTATTTATTTGCCACTCAAGTAGGTACATTTTGTATATAGATTATATATAAATATATTGAACACTGTCCCAGTAGATCTTACTGTTTATTTATTTGCCACTCAAGTAGGTACATTTTGTATATAGATTATATATAAATATATTGAACACTGTCCCAGTAGATCTTACTGTTTATTTATTTGCCACTCAAGTAGGTACATTTTGTATATAGATTATATATAAATATATTGAACACTGTCCCAGTAGATCTTACTGTTTATTTATTTGCCACTCAAGTAGGTACATTTTGTATATAGATTATATATAAATATATTGAACACTGTCCCAGTAGATCTTACTGTTTATTTATTTGCCACTCAAGTAGGTACATTTTGTATATAGATTATATATAAATATATTGAACACTGTCCCAGTAGATCTTACTGTTTATTTATTTGCCACTCAAGTAGGTACATTTTGTATATAGATTATATATAAATATATTGAACACTGTCCCAGTAGATCTTACTGTTTATTTATTTGCCACTCAAGTAGGTACATTTTGTATATAGATTATATATAAATATATTGAACACTGTCCCAGTAGATCTTACTGTTTATTTATTTGCCACTCAAGTAGGTACATTTTGTATATAGATTATATATAAATATATTGAACACTGTCCCAGTAGATCTTACTGTTTATTTATTTGCCACTCAAGTAGGTACATTTTGTATATAGATTATATATAAATATATTGAACACTGTCCCAGTAGATCTTACTGTTTATTTATTTGCCACTCAAGTAGGTACATTTTGTATATAGATTATATATAAATATATTGAACACTGTCCCAGTAGATCTTACTGTTTATTTATTTGCCACTCAAGTAGGTACATTTTGTATATAGATTATATATAAATATATTGAACACTGTCCCAGTAGATCTTACTGTTTATTTATTTGCCACTGAGTAGGTACATTTTGTATATAGATTATATATAAATATATTGAACACTGTCCCAGTAGATCTTACTGTTTATTTATTTGCCACTCAAGTAGGTACATTTTGTATATAGATTATATATAAATATATTGAACACTGTCCCAGTAGATCTTACTGTTTATTTATTTGCCACTCAAGTAGGTACATTTTGTATATAGATTATATATAAATATATTGAACACTGTCCCAGTAGATCTTACTGTTTATTTATTTGCCACTCAAGTAGGTACATTTTGTATTTAGATTATATAGATAATTTGAACACAGTCCGTAGAGAGGTTCTTGTTTATTTATTTGCCACTCAAGTAGGTACATTTTGTATATAGATTATATAGATATATTGAACACAGTCCGTAGATAGGTTCTTGTTTATTTATTTGCCACTCAAGTAGGTGATAACCAGACGTAGATGTTGAAGTAGGCTCGCAATATTGGACATACAGTTATGCATCTATTGACTTCAGTAGTACCCAGCACCTACACACATGGACCAACAGTGATATGGTGCCAGGTGAATAATGATGAGGATTTTAAGGGGGCTTACCCTCATTTATGCTTAGAAGTCATGGGAAGGGATATCATTGATTTTGTATATGGAATGCAGGAGTGTGTGTGTGTGCGCGCGCGCGCGTGTGTGTGCGTGTGTTTGTGTTTGTGTGTGTGTGCGTTGGGTGGTGTGTCACTTATTTTGCACATAGATTTAGGGAGGGGGGGGTCATTCACATTGTACATGGTTCTCCATAGAAATCATTATTTCTTCCCCCCCCAAAAAAAAATAAATGAACGATCCCTTACGGAATTAACTGTGCTGAGGTTTCTAATCATACGCTTTCTTTCACTGTGATAGGTAACCTGACTGACCATTGTGTTTAAGAAAGATGGCACTTTGGGAGACCAATTCTTCCCCACAACAAGGTGGCAAAGGGCTAATTGGATGCAAAAGTGGGTACTCTAAATTAACCAAATATTATCCTCAAGGAAACTCAATTCAATATATACTCATGCTAATAATGGTTGTCACCCCCTCCCCAGCCCAACCCCCACACCTCCTCACACCCCACCCCACACCTCTCCATTTCTGTAACGTTCAAATTAAGGAGAGAAACAAGCCAATACGGCTTGCAGATACGTTGAACACTATTTAGTGTCACGATCCTCTGAATATGGAACATTTGCACAACTGTACTCTTCAGATCTTTCAAATATGATGGCGTTATAACCTTTCACTTTGTTTTCGTAAATGTATTTCGTGATCATTAAACACGAAACGAGATTTAAACATATACTGACAGTATCAAACATTTATTCAGTACTTGCCAATGACCTTAATATTCTCAAACTGTATTAACACGCAAAATAGTATTAGCACCTCATGCTAATGAATAACACGTTCCAGTTACCTCAGTTACTGCAACAGCTTGGTGTGTGAGAAAGTCCTAAATAGTTGAAGTTTCTTAAGATTGTGGGGCAGTGGGATAGCATAGTAGTTGAGGTGTTTGTTCGTCACGCCAAAAACCCGGGTTCGATTTCTCACATGGGTACAGTGTGTAAAGCACATTTCTAGTGCCCCCCGCCGTTATGTTGCTGAAATATTGCTAAACGCGTCGTAAAACTACACTCACTCACTTCTTACGATTGTGGAAAGGGTTTGTTGCCTTTACTTATTAATATGTAAGGATGGTTATTGTATCTTTTTAAAACGAGGTGGTTTCCTTACAACTTACATAAAACATTCATTTGTTATTTAAATTTTAACTGTCTACCACTTACATTTACATCAGTCAGCTTTTCTATTACCTTTTTTTCTTGGTTGTTTACCTCAGCAATATCCCAGCTATATGGCAACGGTAAGTAAATAATCGAGTCTGGACCTGATAATCAAGTGATCAACATCATTAACATCGATGTACGCACTTTGGATACAATGACATGTGTCAAGAGCCTCACCACCCAATCCCGTTAATCAAACGACAAGCATGGTTTACTTCAGACCTATTCGTACTCGGGTCTCCACGCGTCTCTGTTTTTTTAAAAATGTGTAACTTACTGTTTTGGAGTGTTGAGTTGAGTGCCAAAAGCTGACGTTCCAGAGATTCGAGTCGGGCGTCCAGCCTGCTGACATGATCTGATCTGACTAAATCGCCCCCTGCGCCAAGAGCTGCAATGATCAGAGCTGCAACGACATGTACGTGGACGTTCTCCATGATGACAGCTCGGAGACGCCTTCCCGACGGTCATTTATAGCGATCTGGTGGAACATGTGAGAAGGCAGAGTAAACATGCCCACTAATGGTACATCATCGATTTTCACCTTAGTGATGATATCTGTTCATCTGTTCATGACCAAGGTGACACATCGGTGCAATCATAGCTTCATGACATGTGTATAAATTTGGCTTAGGTATACGCAACTTCAACTGTGTTTCAATAATGTTAATGTATTCAAATCTAGATTTATTGTTGAAAGTAGGTTTTCTATCAAATTTAAAGTAGCTTTTTAAACTAACAAAATGCATCAACATCCTTGTACTTGAGCTGAATGTTTAAGCCAGGCAGTGCACGGAGGGGATGGAGGGGGACTGATGAGTTGGGATGTCACGATACATAAGTTTCATGCATCGATACGTATCACGATACCCATGTCACGATTCGATATGTATCACGATACCTATTTTCACGGTATTTATGGCGTAAATTTAGTTACATTTTGAACATTAATATACTGAACCACAAAAGAAATGTCGCACCGATTGCAGTTTCTTAAAGTACACACTTTAATTCGCTCTAATCAACAATCAAAACGGAGTTCAGACTTGACCATTATGGTTAACACATGTTCGGGAGTTCACACAAACAAAATCACCAAAAATGATACCATTAAGATACCCCAAAGTCAGTCTCGTGTATGGCCTCCAGGGGCATTGATGAAAGCGTTGCCTCGTCTGTACATGGAATGAATTAGCCGGTTTATGAAGGCCATAGGCACTAGGGTCCATACTCTGCGAAATGCCTGATCGAGTCCAGCCGCAGTTGTCGGCCTTGGTTGAAGGTCATTCAGTCTTCTTTGAATCTCACCCCAAAGGTGTTCTATTGGACTTAAATCCGGGCTGAATGCAGGCTGTTGTAGCGTTTGGATGCCATATTGTCTTAGGAAGTCCATTGTTGCTCTTGACAGTGTGGGCACGAGCGTTGTCTTGCTAGAAGATGTGATTTTTGTAACCACTCATTGGAAAACAGTTCCCCACGCCTTCACCATGCTTTCACTCTGCCATTGACTGTCGAAACACAATATCGGCTTTCATGAGATGAAAACACAGTTCTCCATTGTCGATAACGCCAAGTTCGAGCTGAATTGACCATAGCACTCGGTTTGGGCGGTGATGAGCGGTGAGGACAGGACTACGATATGGTCTGTGACAGCAGAGGTTTCTTGCGCGCAAACGTCAACGCACTGTATCGGCACTGATGGGTCTGTTGTGACTCCCAATGGTCTGGCGTGCTGTTTCCGTCGCTCTGATGAAGCGATCCTGCAGATGGTGGCGCACAATTCGTCGGTCTTGACGTTGTGATGCTACTGAAGGTCGCCCACTGCGTGGACGGTCTTGGATGCTGTCAGTGACCTGATACCACCCCTGCAGTCGGTAGATTGTCCTTACATGAACATTAAAAGGATTGGCTACCCTCAGTGCTGTCGGGACAACTTGCAATCGTCCCACGACTTCGTTCCTCTGATCCCTCGTAAGTCGTGGTATGGTGATTGTGTCAAAACAAAAAATGATTTCAGGCGAGTTTGGGACTTTCTTTCATTGGTAGGGTTGTCACGACATGCATGTACATTTTTATTTTCACGAATGCCATACGGAACCTTTTACCATGTCTGCCTTTTTAGGTGCGTTTGGTCGATATGCTTTTTCATCAGAAAACACACTGATGTTGGTAATAACTGTCAATTTGGATTGAAAAAATATGTTATCAAAAGGGTACAATCATAATAGAACCACCAGCTTGTGAGAACACAATTTTGAAATTGGTTTTGAAAGGTGACGTTTCTTTTGTGGATCAGTATATTTCATATTTTATAATTATCCATGAAAAGATCAACATTTTTGATTCTCAGAGATTAAAAAGTTCTAATTTCCCATCTTTGTGCATGAAAAATAAACACTCTCATAACATCAAAAAACATGATACAAAATGCAAAATGTAAATGATACATAAACATATTTAAACCGATACTTTCAAAGCTAAATATTGATACAGTTTTGAAAGTATCGATAATTGTATCCTCTTAGAGAAATTATCGATGCATCGATGTATTGTGGCATCCCTACTGATGAGTATATCAACAACACGTTCATTAGGGAATTTTAATTATCAATAATTTTCCACGTGAAACTTTCTGGTGAAATTACTATTTAATGTAATATGTGTATTTTTAAAGTGATTAAATATACCATTTACCTACAAGATGTTTTGTTTGTTCGTTTGTATGTCTCAGCAATATTCCGGCGGTGGTCTGTAAAGTAATGAAGCCTGGATATCAATACGTACTACTTCGTGAAAATCCGGGTTAAGAATTGATCTTCAGCAACCCATGCTTGTCATAAGAACGGGATCGGGTGGTCAGGTTCGCTCACTTGGTTGACATATGTCATCGAATCCCAATTGTGTAGATCGATGGTCATGATGTTGATCACTGCATTGTCTAGTCCATTATTTACAGACCCCCGCCAAATACGAGAAAAGAACACGGATACGCATGGCACAAGTCAAAGCACGGCCAAAAGTATTAATCACATTGAAAATTTGGAAAACATCCTGCACATGTCGATCATAAAACCTTTTGCACCTTTTGAAAGTTTAACTAAGGATTTGACTGTTAAGAGCAAGAGCAACTTTTGAGTAAGAGTAACTTTTGAGCAAGAGTATATCATCCATATATCTAGAGCCTAACATAAACTTCTTGGCCAAATCACTTGTTTGCTAATCGGAGCAGAATAACGATCCATATGCATAAAGTAACAAACAAGTTAAAGGCATAATTTGTGCGGGGGTTGGGGTTGGGGTTGGGGTTGGGGTTGGGGTTGAGGGTGACTACGTCTTGCCTGATTGCTGTGTCCCCCTATACAGACCATTGTATTTACTTTTCTGAAGACTGGAAATGTTTACCGGACATTAAACTTAAACTGATTACTATTCACCGCTTATACAAGTCAAGCATCAGTAGATTATTGTTCTTTTATTTGATGCTTCCATTTCCATTCCATTCCAACTCAGTGTTTATCCGATTACATACAGGTGAAGAACACAAGGTTTCAGTTCCCGGATGTTTGCAGATGTTTTCAATGATTACCTTATTTTCTCGGGGTGTCCATGTCATGTTGGCTTAGGAAGCAGCTGTGTTGAATAAACTGACGTTCAAAACACACCTTATCATAGTTTCAAGTCAATCTAAACTGATGTAGAAAAGAAAGTACACACCTAGTCCTTAGGGATCATTTAAAAAAGATATCCAACAAAAAGCAAAAAACAACAAGACCAACAAAAGCAAATAAAGAATTAAAACAAAACAAATATTTTACGACTGGTTTGAAGTGTCATTTGATTGTCACTTACAAGTTACAAACCTTCAGACATTGTGTGAATGTTGCAAAAATACCACAGTTGACATGCCCAGTTGCGACGTTGCCAAAGCCCAGCGTTCCTAGTCCAGCGAAGACGATTCAATCGATGTTGATCGGCCAGAATGCCACAGCATTGTGTTCTTGCTGATGCTGATGACGTCACTGCAAACATCCGGTAATCCACAAGATGTTGAGTGCGCAGATAATGGTCATAATTGTTATGAGAGCGTTTTTTTGTAATTTGTAATATCATTGATTAAGTGATAGTTATTATGGGTCACAATGTTTAAAGGTTTGAGAGTGGGCTGTGGCTCACATCTCGCATCATATATGGAAATAGAATTTGTAGCGGCACGCCTTTTTGATAGCGCTTTAGAGTTGCCTCCCTTGGCTGGCTTTATTTCGACTTACGAGTCTTGTCACGTCGTTATTTCGAGAAAATCCCGCATCGTTCTGAGACGATAATGATGGAGTCTAACTTTGCTAGAATGCTCGGGAACTGGGTAAGATCTATATAAAGGCTGGTTGTTGTGTTGTGCGACCGGACTTTTCACATGGCTGGATTTATTCTGTCTGCCATCGATGGCATCGTCGAGTTTCTCAACATTTCAAGACTGACGTGCTTGCTTGCTGTCATTGTAAACAAACCTTCAATCAATATATCTGCTCTCACTGTAAATGTCAAGACTCTGGTGAGTCAATATTTTGTATTTGTGACCTAATATTTTAGATTTGTGACTCAACTGCATTGTACTAGAAATCTGTATTGTCATTTATTGTAGCTTGCTCATTGTTTCTTCAATATATTGTTGAATATTTTAGACTTGTCTGTGTTCTATTTTGCTGGTTCAAAGGGGACTCTTAAACCTTTTGTCACGACAAATTATTAACCGTAACACTATCTGTTCTGGAACTGTCATATGTCTGTCCAGTCTTGTTCAGCCGAACATTCTGGCAATATGGCTATTCGAAGACCCCACCCGCAACATTTCAGTGGTTCGTGCTCGCTCCGCGTTTTGGTGTGTGCCTTTAACTGATATACTTTCAATCAACTATGTTTCACACTATAGACAAATAAACGATTCAACAAAATCGTGTATTTCCTGATGTTCCACAGTAAAGGATATCCTTGATGTGTTGGTAACGTACACAATGTTTGTGACTTGTAAGTGACAATCAAAATATCTGCTTTGTGTATTGAATATATTGGTCTATATTTTTTGTACGTCAGATAAGTTTAAAAATCACGAAGATAGATGCACGAAGTACACTTTTATCGAAATACTGAAAAATTGAGAACGAAAATAGCAACCGATATTGGCATAGCAGCTGCCAAAATTGAGGTAGCACAAACAAGATTTAACCTTCGCATGGATCTTACCTTGGTTTATAGAGTTGATTTCAATCGTAAGGAGAGTCACTTTCGTATGAATTATACTCCATATCATATCATTGATTTTGTTCGTAAGGAGGGTCACTTACATTACTCGACATATTTAGAATATTCTCCTATTGCTTGTAATAGATGGCAAACGTTTAAATTTAAGTCTAAGTTTAATAAACATTTTCATGATAAAAATATAATATGCACAAAAGTTAGTATTGATATATGATGACAGATGGTGGATTTGCAATG